GACTCTCTCTTTGAACATTAAGCTATTTGTCAAATTGTGCCTCCTCCAACTGCACCACTTGTCCCTTCACCACCAGCCTTCACAAGCTAAAGGAGTATAGAGATGTTTATTTCACCTTTGAAAGAAATTATCCCGTCTTCCGACCATTTAAAAATCAAAGCTGATTAAAATCGGTTCGGATTGTAATTAACATTATTTTCCTATACATTTCACATATATGAAGCCACCACTTAGTGTTTCCTCCTCCCTCCCTCCCAGATCTCCTTCCCGAGTTTATCCACATCTGTGTCTCTGCAGCATCTTGTGATAGGAGTGACGTTCTCAGAGCTCAGCTCTTCCGATGCCAGTCCACTGATCCACTACTGGTAGTGCCTCCCCACTGCCAGTACTGTGATGCCTGTGCCTCAGGTGCTGAAGGACACACGGCCCCTCCTGCCTGGCGTCTGATCTGCAGACTGACAACCCCCAGTCATCCCAGACATGCCTGTCCTCAACCTCCAGTGACCCCGTGATTGCCGTCATTCCACACGAAAGCAAACCAGCCCTTTGTCATTTGGCTCCATCCTTTATTAGCTCTGAGACAATGGGCAAGGCCATTCATTAACCTTTCTGAACCCTCCCCTCCTCATCTGTAAAACAAGGGTAACATCCCCACCCAATGTTTTATGAGGTTCAACTGAGATACTGTATAGTCTCGGGTAGGCTTATTAAGTGTCTGCTCTTTTGTCTTTCCCTATCTCCTCATACAAGAGAAGTGGTTGCAGCTCTCAGACCTGCTGGGGCTGGAGTGATGGAAAAGCTGGACTTACCAACTAGATGCTAGTGTGGGGAGAACTGGGGAGCACAAAGACGCCATCAGTCACTTTCGAAAGAGCTGGCAGAAGGTACAAGACAATGACAGAGCATAAATGCACCTGCCTACCTCCGTTATGCAATATGGAGCAGCTAATAGGAGCAAGTTAGATCTCTAATCGTCTGGACAAATAAAGGCAAAAGTACATTAAAAGAAAAATATGCATGTGGCAGGTAAGGTGTACAAGTGGCCCTATTTTTGTAGGTGTCCTTGAGTAGGCAGGTTTTACATGGACATAGAAAAGAGGGGTGTTAACATCAGAGAGTTCACACTGATTAGCAATGGAGGGTAAGATTGCATTGGAGGGGAATGTTGACATTTCTTTATACATCATTAAATTTTTTATCAAGAACATTTTAACCACATGAGAACTTTAAATTCAGACCTTTAATCAGGTGGCAGAATTTGTAGTGTCTAAATGGGCAAAGGACAGAGTCTCTGACCATGGACACCTTGGAAAGGCCCAATTGCTTGGAAGAAGCTGAGGGTGAAGTGTGCTATGTAAAAAAACACAAGCTCCTGGTGCACAGGGCTGGTCTCCGCCTGGGGAAGCGGGGGAGCAGTGAGGTCGATACACTTGATGTCAACATCACTTTGTGCTGATTATGAACTAACAAGGCTTCTACCTCTGAAAGTCTGATCACCAAGAGGCAGTGGAGAATTCGACCCCTTGTTCTAGAACAGGCTTTGAATAATCCCCTTATTTGAAAAGGAAGGCAAATGAGCACCCTCTAATGCCTGTATTTCCAAATTCAATGGGCTAAGTTCCATCTTTACACTGTTCAGGCTTTAGAAATGCTCATCTTTGTTTCTTTTCAAGTGGCAGTATTATTACAATGTCAACTGTAATGCCATTCCAGGGTTTATCAACAGGCCACAGCTTTCCCAAATACGGCTTTAGCAAGTGGGTGGGAAGAGATAATGTCCCCAGGGAAAATGTTCTAACTTTGGTCTTTTTAAGGTTCATCTCTTTGAAATAACTAGTCGATTTTTGGTTTTTACTGCCTAGGGAGATAAAACCGCATTAGTCTTTAAAACGTGGATATGAATCATTCTGGCAAACATAGGGTTCAGTCTACTCTTGGGCCATCTTAGATGAGTATATATTTGATTATTTCCACCCAGAATGGCTCTCCTGATTCTTCAAGTTCTAATACATGACCTTGCTGTGTATACGGATCCTCTGCTGTCACAATCAGCCTTTCCTATCTGCAAAGGATGGGGAGCAGGTCCATGGCTCTGCTCAATGCCCTGCACCACCAGGTGTGGCCTGGAGGACACTAGTGACCATGAGCTCTGTGTCTTTGGCATTTCCCACCAATAAATGGGAGTGGACAGCCATAATATAGCTCAGATACCAGGCCTCATGGCCTCAAAGATACCGCAGAGATTTTTATGTCTTGGGAAAACTCTCCCTAACATAATACAGAAGCCACTTGTTGTCTTCTCTGTCATCTTTTAATACCAGTGTTTGACACTGTGTTTCTGATCACTCTTCCAGTGATTAGCTGCCCCATGGCTAGGAGACTCCAAAATCCAGGGGATCTATGAGGGAAGGAGACGGAAGGAGGACATAAGTCCAGGAAGGCTATGGGCAGACAGGAAGGTCAGTCCTGCAGAAAGCCTCGGGATCCAGTGGCACTTCCATGATAAGGATTTCTCCTCCTTTTCCAGGACTCATCGAATCCCAGGAGACAAAGGGGTGGAAGTTCCCATTTAATGTGTCCAGACTTCTGGAATGGCCCAAGTGGAAACCTAGAGGGTCTTTTCGTTCTTCACTCTTTGTTCTTTAAAGATGGGTCACTATACCTGGAACTGCTGTCGGTACTGGCCATAAAAGGAGTTACGAAAGCATCCACAGTCCTTATAATGATGAGGTTGACAGTCCAGAGAACAAGAGAGATTTCTGTTAAATAGCCACGCAGATTCATGGAAAATGACAACGGTGCTAAATGTTACAAATATTGTCAGCCATGAGCATTTATAATGAGGAGAGGTGGCTATTCCAATAGTTGGAGGAGTGTTTCCTAAGGAGGGGGTGTTAGTTAGACTGAGATGTGGAGCAAGAATAATAAAAGACAGACTCATGTTGACACCAAGGACACAGCAGGGGAGTGGAGAGGCCTTTAGGAGGAGCATGGGCCTAGGAGGAAGACGCTGAGCTGAGGAAGGGAGGAGGGGTGAGGAGGGAGAAGACAACTGGAGCAGACCACCAGGGAGGAGGCCGAGGACAGACATGGGCGTGTGTGGGAAGGTGGGCTTGTGAAAGGCCAGCAGGAGAAAGAACAGAGAGCTGCGCTGTCCATGGTGTCTGCACATGGACAATGTCACGTGACCTTTCCTTCCTGCCGGCAGCTGAGCAAGAGTACTTCTGAGGACGGAGCTGAGGCAGCTCCAATCAGAGCCACAGGAGAGGCCTGGAAGAGAAGGCTGCACCCCCTCGGGTCAGGGTGCTTGTGTCCCCTCGTCCAGCCGATACCCACCTGGGGAAGCATCTCAGCACAGAGCAGAGTTTCCCACGCGCCCTGTGAGCCCCATCCCTGCTGTCTGGGACAATGTCTGTCCTGCCTGGATCATGGCCTCCTGAAGACAAGGGTGCCAGATCTTCTGCTGAGCTTTGTGTCTGGAGGGAGAGGGCTGTGGGGTGACTGCTGGAACAAGAGGCCACCGGGGTGTGGAAGAGGATGTGAGAGACAAAGGCCACATGTTTGCCTTTGACAGAAATGGATAGAGCTGCCTGGATTTCTCCTTGGGGTGACTGTGAGGGATCAGCTGTATGTGGTTTGAAGCCTGCACACATCCCTGTAGACAACAATCTGGGATATCACCTTGCCACTTTATGTCCTGCCCTTTCCTCTCCTATCCATGGGGTATGTGATAGAGGGAAGTTGAGTGCCCAAGGAGGGGCCCCAAGAACGTAGACACAGGCAAAGGCTTGGCCTAGGCTGTGGTGAGCCCAGGAAAGGGCTGCAGAGAGCTCACCTGCCCCCAGGAGGCAGAGCAGCATGGTGGTCATGGCAGGGTCCGGGCAAAATGGGCAGACCGCAGGAAATCGCTTCGTTTGTGTGTTGAGGAAACAAGGCCTGGATCTCAGTGGAATCATCAGTGATGCCACCATCCCTGCCAGCTGGCGACTCTGCCATCTGCCTGCTGACCGGCCCTCTGCCCTCTGCTACCCCTCCACCTACAGTCATAAACCGTGACCCATACGGCCTCTACTCCCGCTGCCATTCTTCCAGGAGACAATAGCCCAGCAGGGCCAAGGGCATTTGCCCTCCTCCTGCCCCTCCACCACCACCTCACCTTTTCCACCTTAGGGATCTTTTCTTACAGACTATTTCTTCTGCCCTGACCATATGTTTCTCCCTCCCATTCCTACATCTCTACTTTATTTTGTACATGAAAATATATTTCAGGTACATTTATTCTTAATTGTGAAAAGTAACATTTAAGTTTCACTAGAATAAATTAAGGAAAATATTTTTAGGCATTTATTGGAGGTGGGATTCTTTTTTAGTCAAGACACAAACCAAATTATTTATAATTTCCATTACATTAAATTCAATCTTGTATATCAAAGCACACCATAAAAAATGAAAACGCAACCTACAGACTAAAAAAAGGCACAAGTAATGCATATAAATGATAAAGAATCAGTGGAAAATTACACATTCCTCAAAGTTGCCAGTGAAGAGGGGATAGTCATGACCCCTGGAGATGTCTGAGCTCCCACTTCTGTCCATCTGGGGACTTGAGAGCAGAGAGGGGCTCTGTCCCACTGACCAGGACACAGCAGGTGATGGTAGGACAGCAGGGTAGATGGAAGATGTACAGAATTGATAAACACACACAAGTTTGTCTCCCATTTCTGCTTCTTACAAACCAGGAGACACTGGGGAAATGATTGAACATCCCTTAGCTTTCCATATATAACAAGGGAATAAAATCCCTGATTTGCAGAATCACTGTGAAACTTCAGAACATAGAACATACACAAAGAATCTAGCACACATCTGAGGCCTCAGTTGTTGCTTTTCTACAGAAGTTGCTCAGGACCTGACAAGCTAAAGAAGACGCTGATAGAGAAGTGGACAAATTCTGTCCATACAGGTGAACCTCTGTTTTCCTGGCCGGAACGGCTCTCAGCTCAGCCGGACACGGGAAATGCGTTGGAAACAACTGGAAGCACACCTTGAAGTAGTGAAACTTCGGTAAAGCCTGCAGCTCTAGAGGCAGAGCTGAACCAGGAAGTTTGTGCACAGAATGTTTGTGGCTCTGCAGGGCTGTGGAAGTTGCTGGCACAGAGATACAGGGCTGAGTCCCCCAGCTCCAAGGCACTCATGTTCAGCTCAGAGCGATAGTCACTGAACTGGTGACCTGAGAATCGGGCAGGAAAGTTTCCTTTTTCTCCCTCTTCCCCATTATAATACTGAATGAGGAACTGGAGACCCTGACCCAGGGCCTGTTGGTACCAGTACACCCGGTTGTGCCCAGAGACAGGGGAACATCTCAATGTCACTTGCTGTCCTCTTGCTTTGATCAGGTGTCTTGGAGTTTGGGTGACTCCAGCCTCTGTTGGGCCTGCGGAAAAGCAGATGGAGACTGAGCACAGGAGACAGCCTGGTGGTGCCTCCCAAGGTCAGGTGAGGATGCAGAGGTGGGCAAGCTCAGCACAGAGAAGCTGTCCTGTCCGCAGGGCAGGGCTCACCTGTCCCCAGGAGACAAAGCATCGCCCAGTGGAGGAGCCTGGAGCCCATGGCACAGCGGGGCAGGCAGCACTATGCTCTGTGCTCAGGGCATGGGCCTCTTGGGGAAGAGCTGAGCCTGAGTTTCCTGATTGGAGGAGTATCCTATGATGTCACAGCCCTGGGTCACCCCCTGCAGGCTTCCTGAGGTCCAGAGCTCCCTGATCTGCAGAGCAGGGGCAGGGTGAGGGCAGATGCTTCCCTGATGAGGCAGCTGCTCCTCTGCCCACTGCCCTAGCACACAGGTTGTCCCCTCCCCTCCTACCCTCCCTCACCTACTGCTGCAGTGCTCCACGCTGGGACTCACACCTGCCCATCAGCTGAGAGTGAGGAGCCTGAGGCCACCCCTCCTGTCCCAGCTCTGCCTGGCTGAGCTCATATCATCATTGACATTGGATTCATACCAAGGTTTCTGATTGTATTTTCCTTTCCCAGGGCACATTCCCAGGCCTCCCCTGAGCAGCCGGTGAAGCAGACTCACCACGATTTAGTCCATCTGATCAGGTCCAAGTTGACCTGGCTGTGTGTAAATTATCAGCAGGACAGAATCCTCAGAATTCATTCTGGTGCTTTATCAGCTCACAGCACAGAACAGCCAGTTGGGACTTACCAAAGGCCATGCTGTGTGCAGCGCTCTGGGGAGTTTGTGTTTACCCCTCCAGGTGCGCCCTGCCCTTGGAGACTGACCCAGTGATCATCCTAACTGCCTCCTTCTTCTGTCCCTCCAGTGGGCTTGTCTTGTGGGAGACCATGGCAGGAGAACAGAGGGCGGTCTGGTAACCAACTGTCCTGCTTTGCAAAATATACTCTCCTGGCTCCCTTCGTGCTGGATTACATATCAGAGTGGCCAAGGTAGCCACACAGCAGTCTGATGGCTTTGCTGCTTAGCTATTTCTTCCACCAAGTAACCTAGTTCATTGCTTGTAATTTCTGAATTCCATAAAGTCCTAGGACAGGGACACAATTCAGCCAAGTGTTTCGCTACTTGAGAACAAGGGTGGCATCCATTTTAGTTCCCAATTACCTTATTCCTCCTTTCCCTCTGAGACCTCATCAGAATTGCCTTAACCACCCAGATTTCTACCAACATCCTGGTCACAGCCACCTGAGAAATCTTGAGAAGATTCCAGCTTTCCCTACATTTTTCCTCTTCTTCTGAGCCCTCGCCAGATGGCGCTTAGTGCTCCAGTCACAGCAATGCAGGCTTTTTCTTACCTGCCCCTCGAGACTCTTCCAGCCTCTACCCATCACCTAGTTCCAAAATTGCTTCCATATTTGCAGGTAGTTTATTTTTTAGGATCAACAAGACCACTCTTAGTACCAATTTTCTGTCTTAGCTCGTTTTCTGCTGCTATAGCACAATATTACAGACTGAGTAATTTAGAAAGATAAGGTATTTATTTGGCTCATGGTTTGGAAGACAGGGAAGGTCAAGATCAAGGGGCCACTGTGTGGGGGCCTCCTGCCTCACTATCCCATAGCAGAAGGAAGGGCTCAAGGCATGAAGACAATGGGACTGAACTCATCCAATTTATCAAGAGCTCAGTCCCTTGACAGCTAACTAGCTCCCTCAGTAAGGGCTTTAATCTATTCAAGAGGGCAGATCCTTCATGACCTAATCATCTCTTAAAGGTCTCACCTGGCAATTCCATTGCACTGGTAATTAAATTTCAACATGAGTTTAGGTGGGACGTTCAAACCATAGCACATGCACCTACCCCATGAATCAGTAATTCCACTCTTAGATCTAAACCTAAGAAGTACGAATGCATTTGTCCATGAAGAATTGTACGAGAATGTTCAGAGCAACTTCATAATGGTTGAAGACAGGACTAATCCAGATATTCCTCAACAGGAGAATGAATAAACAAGTTTTGGTATATTTACACAATGGAATACCACTCAGCCATAAGAATGAACTGCTAATACAACATGAATGTAGCTCAAAATATTAATTTTGGATGAAGATAAATCAATAAAGATGTGCCATATGATTCCATTTATATGAAGTTCAGGAATAGAAAAAACTAATCAATGGCAATAGAAATCAGAAACATATTATAGTTACCTCTGGGAGAAACTGATTAGAAAGGAGCATGAGGAAAATTTCTTGGGATGATGGAAATGTTCTTTATCATGATTTTGGTTATGGTTGCACTACCTTATGCATTTGTCAAATTCATTCTTCTATTACATAGAGTGTTTGACTTTCTATTAATTATACCTTAAAAAGTATTACTAAAAAGTATATATATGAATTGTATAAAAGATGGAAGTCAAATATAAATGTTAATATATTCTGGTACAGTCCAATTTAGAAAGGAATTACACAAAAATAATACAGGAAAACTCATATATCTGTACAAAATAGAGAGAATGTAAGATGTGCTCAGTGACTGAAATATACAAAATCCAAATTTGGCATCAAGACAAGCTGAGCTGAAAAGTATTTCTATTTCTAGGCAGAAATAATTGAAGCTCAATGGCTGAAGAAAAGCTATGGACAAACAAAAACTTAAAAAAAAAAAAACCCTTTAAGCACTATTGCAAACATTCCATGAAGGATGAACTGCTATAAACACCGTAATGTGGACAATTGGGCATTCATCAGTCTCCCAATTTAGCCTTTCATTTTGGCTTTCAGCAGATTAGCCCATTGATAAATTGACATTTTGCCAAGCAAGCAGCCTGCTCCTCTCCTTGTGGCGGGCTGTGGTTGAGCTGGCGCTCCTCCTGTGGCAGCCTCACAGAGGTGCACCTGGGCACGGCGTTGGCACGTGGGGTTTGCTGCCCATGGGATTTGTATTCCTATGAAGCCCAGCTATGGACCTCCCAGTCTCGTGCTCAGTAGATCCCAAGTTGAGAAATTTTGCCCCTGGGTGTGGACTTCTATCTGTAGGTGCTATGGAGAGATACAGGCTGGAAGAAAATAACATGTTTGCACAATATTTTTCTGTAGTATTTCTCAAGAAAAAAAAAATGAGGAGCTTATGAATATTAATCAAACCAAAGTAATACTAAGAATTAGGTTCCTTCCTTATCTACCCTCAGAACTCAAGACACTGCCCTACACCCACAGACACTGGGTAGAGGATTAGCTTATAGTCTCTTTAATAGTTCTACTAGTTGATTATCTTCAAGTCCTGCAGGGAGGTAGCTAAGCTCCCAGCAAAAAATCAGGTCCCTTTGGTAGGGTTGCAAAGGATAAGAAAATAATAGAAAATGTGGAAAATAATGGAAATAAAAGAATACACAGAGACGAAAGTATAGTTTTATAGATTTATAAAGATTATAGGCAAAGTGGGTGCTCAGGGGGCCTGGATTTCTCCGTCAATCTCAGAGGTCACGAGTGAAGTTTTACATGCTTATTTATAGGTACAGTGATCAGTTGCCAGGGGTAACAGATTTACATAACAACAGGTAGTTCCTCTTAGGTTAACAGTTTTTTAGAAGGATTCTTCAGATCCCTTAACTAACTCTACGTGAACAAATGGTTACAAAATCTTTCACAGACTAACTTCTAAGTTCTAAGGTAAATTTATCATTTAACAGAGGGGTTAAACAGAGATATATTGGCTCCGTATTTTCTTTATCAGGTTATTGTGAATGGAGACAGGTAGTCCAGAGTTTAAGCAGGAACTGTCCCTTGGGCTAATTGCTTTTAGCCACAGGTGGCTGTCTGTCGGGCGGGCACTTTTTGATCAGCTCTCATCCTGTAGTTTTTAGCAGACCTGCCTTGCTTTACAAAGCAAGTCCAAACTTTAGGTCTGAGAATCGCGGCACCACTGTGGGATGCAGCCGCTACTGTCTTTCAGAGATGCCCTCCTGAGGTGAAACAGTTTTCGATATGCAAACTAACACATTCACATATTCCTTCAGGGCAAAGCTCTGCAAAACTCCTGAGACATTTCTGTCTCCGATATATTTATATTAATTTATGGAGCAACGAAGTCCAACAACACTGTTTGCTGCATCTACTAACATTTCTAAGTGGATTTTTACTTGTGTGTTTGAAAACTTGCCATTTAGCATTATTTTTCCTGCAGAAAGAACATGCTTGATATCCCACGGAACCAACACTGAGGAGACATTGTGTGTATGACTTACAGATTCGTAGAATTTCAGATCATTCAGGCAGTTTAAAGCTACTCAGCTGCTTTCTACTCAGTTCTTCTCCCTTGAAAAGGAAATGAAACACAAATTTCATGTTGGAAACTATAATTCCTCTGCTCTACTTGATTACTAGAATATCCAAATGAAGCAAAATAATATTGTGCAGTTTGCATTTACATACACACCACAATGATGGACCTCAGCTCACACTAAGGTACGTGTTGCACGAGAACCCTCAGACTTAGACCCCACTGCTGGGAAGTCTGGGAAGAGCTTCAGAAAGGGCGGCTTTTTCTCCTGGTTGAGGCAGGGGCTTAGGGAAGGATGTCCACCAATAGCCTGTGGCTGCCCTTTTAGTGCGCAGAATAGCTGACTGTGCAGGGCCACGGAGGCACTGGCACAGAGATGCAGAGAGGTCTGCTTGCTGCAGGTCGACCCCAGGGTCAGGGGAAACCCTTAGTTTTGTTTCAGAAGATGTTTTTCCCTTCCATGACATTTCCTGGGGTAACGCCTCTGACACTACCGGATAACAGATCAGCCTTGGCCCATGTCCTGGGTCTTGTCAATACCAGAATGTTGAATAATGGCTCCTAATCTGAGAACATTCCAGAATCATCTTTTTCCCTGTCTGTGTAATGTGGTATCTTGATGTCTGGGTGATTCTAGCACCCATAGGGCCTGTTGGAGAGACAGACATAAAGGGAAGAGAAGAATTAAGAGGAAATGTGAATCTGCAGAGGAAAGGGAAGGACAGGCTTGCAGCTGGGACTTTGCAAACCCGTGACAGGGTTTCCCAGGGGAGCCCAGAACGCACCTGCTCCCAGGAGACACAGGGTCACACGGAAGAGTCTGGGGCTCATGGCAGGGTCAGGTGAGGACGGGGCTCTCCCGGCTAAATG